TTTATTTCCATTTAGAATGTCTCAGAAAAAAGGAAAATGAAATAAATATAAAAGAAAATGTGACAAGATTGAAAATGCAAAGTTTACTTTGTATTATATGTTTTTTAAATTTTATCTACGTTATTATTGTAAAATATCAACTCACATCGGTGCAAATAGGCGCAACCGTGCAAATCGGTGATATAAGATCTCATCCAACTTCACCTTACACTCTTACAAAAAGCAGAGCAGCAATAAAACGCTGTTCGCTCTGGTATGCAGTCAACCAGAAAAAATCTCACATTTATAGTATGTTTACAGTTGGGCACTCGATATTGAAGCTTTTCTGTTTCATTTGCTCGTGTCCGTAGGGTTAGGCGAGTTCCTCTTCTGGAAAATGTAGCACTTCATTTATAACATTATAAGATTTACCTTTTCTAACACATCTTACATGTTGAACGATATTCAACATAATCATGGAAAAAAAGGATAGGCGTATGACTAAGGCAAATTGACAATAATGAAAGATTTACAAAGTTTGTTTAAATTTTTAACACATCGAAGACGATGATTTAGAAGAGTTTTTTTTTTTTTTTTTTTTTTTAATTATTATTTAGAAGATTTTATGATCAGAAACTGCAATAACTTGTTTCTACAATCTGCTCTGGAACGTAAATGAAGAATTGTAGGGTGATGGGTTGTACGTTGAATAATTTTCAACATAGTTATGAAGAAAAAGAATTGATTGGCGTATATCATTAGGGCAAATTGAAAAGGAGGAAAAATTGTTTAGTTACCTTTGAAACTTATTGTAAGACTGTATAGTGTTGTATTAGTTACCTTTGTAACCTACTGTATTAGTTACCTTTGTAACCTACTGTATTAGTTACCTTTGTAACCTACTGTATTAGTTACCTTTGTAACCTACTGTATTAGATACCTTTGTAACCTACTGTATTAGATACCTTTGTAACCTTTGTAATCTACTGTATTAGTTAAATTTGTAACCTATAGTATTAATTGCCTTTCTAATATTGTGTAGTTTTACCCTTTTTAACGCATCTAAAACGGTATGTAGTGAAACGTATAAGTTGATTTTACGATCAGAAATTACAATAACGTGCTTCTCCAATCTAAAATCGACTCAGGTCGGTGCAAAAGTTGGTGATGTAAAATCTTATTCAACTTCTACTTCGCTTTCACAGAAAGTAGAGCAGCAATAAAACGCTGTTCGCTCCTGTACGTAGTCAACCAGAAAAGATCTCAGATTTATGTTTACAGTTGGGCACTCGATACTGAAGCCTTTCTGTTTCATTTGTTCGTGTCCGTAGGGTTAACCAGGGCTCATCTTGGAAAATGGAGATACTTCATTTCGATCCAAGAGATGGATATGCAGAATAATAAGTCTGGGAATTCGAATTTCCCCTCTCGTGTCGTATAATATATATCGTGAAAATATAAAAGCCTTTTTAATATTTTTATAAAAGCATTGTTTACTTTTTCAAATATGGAATTGCATGTACTTTTCTGCTCGAATAAAAAGTGTGTACATTTTTATTTCTATTTAGAACGTCTCAGAATAAAAAAAAAAGGAAAAGAAAATGCGAGTTATAGAAAAGTTTACTTTATATATCTTTTTAAATTTTAGGTACATTATTATTTTAAAACACAGTGTTTCCGTTACAGGCAAAAAGCTACTGTTTTATCATGTCAGTTTTCTTCGAAATGTCAGGTAATGTATTATTAGAATAAAAAATGGAAAATGCTTATTTTAAAATGACAATGATGAACATCAGTAGGGAGAATTTTTAGAGTTTAGAGTTTTTATTTAAGTTAGAAGACTACTAAATTAAAGAAGTTAGAACAACCTAACAATAAGATATAAAGAAAACAAACTAACAATAAGATACAAAGGTAATAACCTAACAGTAGGTTACAAAGGTAGCCTAACTAAAATTAACAAACTTTAACAAATTGTTAACAAAATGTAACAATCTTTCCTTCGTTTCAATTTCAATTTAAACAAAAATTAACAAATTGTTAACAAAAGGTAACAATCTTTCTATTTTTTTTCCCCACAACTATGTTGAACATCATCCAACTTCTAACCGATTTACCTGCAATTCTTCATTTGCGTTCTGGCGAAGATTGCAGAAGCAAGTTATTGCAGATTCTGTTCGTAAAATTGACTCAGATCGGTGCAAATATGCGCAACCATGCAAAAGTCGGTGATATAAAATCTCATTCAGCATCTCCTTAAACTCTCACGAAAAGCAGATCAGCAATAAAACGCTCCGGTACGCAGTCAACCGAAAAAGATCTCAGATTTATGTTTACAGTTGGGCGATACTGAAGTCTTCCGCGCTTTCTGTTTCATTTGCTCGTGTCCGTAGGGTTACGCAGGGCTCCTCTTGGAAAATGGAGAACTTCGTTTCCATCAAAGAGGTTGGATCTGCAGAATATTAAGTCTGGGAATTCGAATTTCCCCTCTCGTATCCTTGAAAATATAGAAGCATTTTTAATATTTTTTTAAAAGCATGGTTTGTTTTTTCAAATATGGAATTGTGCATACGTTTCTGCTTGAATAAAAAGTGTGTAAATATATATTTCTATTTAGAGTGCCTTCAGAAAAATAAGAAAATACATATAGAAGAAAATGCAACACGATAGAAAATGCAAAATTTACTTTGTATTACATGTTTTTAAATTTTACCTACGCTATTATTCTAAAATACAAATACAGTGTTCCATTACAGGCAAAAAAACTTTTTCGTTATCGTTTTGTTTTCTTAGAAATGTCAAAAAGCGTATTTTTAAAATAAAAATTGGAAAATGCGTGATTTAAAATATCAATGAGATACGCTTAAAAGTCTTAAGTTTTTTACTTGTAATATTGTGGGTATTGGTTTGGATATCGTTGTATAGTATTGTTTTGGAATAGTAGAATATTGTTATCAGTATAACAATATTGTTTCGGGTCATTTTTAAATGACTAAGATATAATTTTTCATTCTGATTGCTCGTATTTTTTTTATCAGTATTTTTTCCTTTCACTGTTTCTTATTGATTTAATTAACTTTCTTTCACGTGCTTTTTTATAAATTCGGTCGGAATTCTATAGTTTTTTCCTTATATTTCTTCCATGTGATTTTTAATTAAATTTCATCGTATATTAAATTAATGCTACAAGTAAATAAAACATGAAAATTATAAAGAATTTATCAACAACATATAAATTATTTACAAAAAATAAGCGGGAATTCAGGCTGTTTAGTACTTTTTACTGCATATCGTTTTAGATGTGTTAAAAAAGTAAAACCCAATATTATAAAAAAAACTTATAATATAGACTACAATCTTAAAATAGGTTACAAAGGTGACAAAAAAGCTAATATAAACAGACACAGTTAGGGATTGGGACCTAATAGTAATTAACAGAACCTAATGAACCTGACCTAATAGTAACAATAGGTTACAAAGATAACTAAACAATCTTTCCTACTTTTCAATTTGCCTTAATGTTATACACCAATCAATTCCCTTTCCACATAACTATGTTGAACAGCATCCAACGCGTAACCGATCAACCTGCAATTCTTCATTTACGGTCTGGCGTGAATTGCAGAAGCAAGTTACTGCAGATTCTGATCATAAACTTGACTCAGATCAGTTCAAATAGGCGCAACCGTGCAAGAGAGTGAAATAAAATCTCATTCAACTTCACCTTACACTCTCCCGTAAAGCAGAGCAGCAATAAGACGTTGTTCGCTCCGGTACACAGTCAACCAGAAAAGATCTCAGATTTGTGTTTACAGTTGGGCACTCGATACTGAAGCTGTTTCATTTGCTCGTGTCCGTAGGGTTAGGCGAGCTCCTCTTGCAAAATGGAGAACTTCATTTCCATCCAAGAGGTTGGATTTGCAGAATAATAAGTGTGGGAATTCGAATTTCCCCTTTCGTATCGTTCAAAATATAAGAAGCCTTTTAATATTTTTATAAAAGCATTTGAAGCAGTTGTTTTTAAATATGGAATTGCACGTACGTTTTTGCTTGAATAAAAATTGTATAAATATTTATTTCTTTTTAGATCGTCTGATCCAAAAAAATATGAAAAGAAAATAAACATAGACGTTACGATAGAAAATGCACTTAGTTTACTTTGTATAGTTTCTTACATTTTACCCACATTATTATTTTAAAATGCGGAGTTTCCATTACAAGCAAAAATCTACTGCTTTGTCGTTTCTGCTTTCTTAGAAGTGTCGAAAAATGCATTCTTATAATAAAAATTGGAAAATGCGTATTTTAAAATGTCAATGAGATATGCATTACTATTTTCAGTATTTTTTTATCCATAAAATTATGGGTATTGGTTTGGGTTAGTGTTGTATAGTATTGATTTGGAATAGTAGAATGTTAGTATTAGTGGAATAGTATAGTTTTCGAATAGTAGAATATTATTGTTAGTAGAATAATACTTATATAAAACAATTATTTATTCTTATTTTTCGTGTCTTTGTTCATTTTTCGTTCCCTGGACCACTATCAACGTTTCTTACTGGTTTATTATTTTTTTTCTAATTTGTTTCACGAGCTATTATTGATTTATTTGGATTTCTTTCACGTGCATATTTTTTCCCAGAACTATAAAGAAAATTTTTCAATGTGTAACCCATCAACTTGCAATTCCATATTTACGTTCTGAAATAGATCGTAGAAGCACGTTATTACAGATTTTGATCATAAAGTCTTCTAAACCATAAATTTATATGCTTTTCCCTAACACCGTCTTAGATGTGTTAGAAAAGGTAAAACCACACAATAATTTACAAAGGTAACTAATACAATAAGTTACAAAGGTAGATTCTTAACACTAGGTTACAAAGGTAACTAAACAATTTTTCCTACTTTTCTATTTGCCTTAATGATACGCGTATCCTTTTTTCCCCATAACTATCCCGAACATCATCTAACGGGTAACCGATCTACCTGCAATTCCACATTTACGTTCTGGCGTGGCCAACGGCCGTACCATGCTGAATATACCGGTTCTCGTTAGATCACCGAAGTCAAGCATCATTGGGCGCGGTCAGTACTTGGGTGGGTGACCACCTGGGAACACTGCGTGCTGTTGGCAAATTTGGAACCTGAATGGCCGAGTGTCTAGCGCTCTGGCGCTCGGTGCCACATGTTTCGGGTTCGAATCCCGGCGGTGCCATGGATGTTTGTAGTGGTTCGGAATCCACTTTAAGCCGTAGGTCCCGGTCTTCTATGACTGTAAGAGCGTCACGGAGCAAAAGTCAGGCTTCTACCTACGGGGTGCTCCATCACAACAGAAGCTGCTTCCTTCCCCTTCAATCATGAGTCCATATGCGCTCGTGGGCTTGGCCAGCCAAGTGGGATAAGAAACAACAACAACAACACGTTCTGGCGTAGATTGCAGAAGCAAGTTATTGTAGTTTCTGATCTTAAAGTCGACTCAGATCGGTGCAAATAGGCGCAACCGTGCAAAGGGAGGTGAAATAAAATCTCCTTCTCTCTTAAGAAAAGGAGAGCAGCAATAAAACGCTGTTCGCTCCGGTAAGCAGTCGACCAGAAAAGATCTCAGATTGATGTTTACAGCTGGGCACTCGATACTGGGGCCTTTCTGTTTCATTTGCTCCTGTCCGTAGGGTTAAGAGAACTCCTCTTGGAAAATGGAGAACTTCATTTATAACATTTTAAGATTTACCTTTTTTAACATATCTTACACTTTGAATGATATTCAACATAATTATGGGGGAAAAAGGATACGCGTATGATTAAGGCAAATTGAAAAAAAGGAAAGATTTTCTAAATTTGTTTACCTTTTTAACACATCGAAGACGATTTAGAAGAGCCAGAACGTAAATGAAGAATTGCAGGGTGATCGGTTACACGTTGAATAATGTTCAACATAGTTATGGCGAAAAGGAATTGATTGGCGTATATCATTAAGGCAATTTGAAAAGATTGTTTAGTTACCTTTGTAACCTATTGTAGGACTGTATAATGTTGTATTTGTTACCTTTTGTAACCTACTGTGTTAGTTACCTTTTGTAACCTACTGTATTAGTTACCTTTGAGACCTACTGTGTTAGTTACCTTTGTAATATTGTGTAGTTTTACCTTTTTTAACACATCTAAGACTGGTATGTAGTGAAACGTATAAGTTGATTTTATGATCACAAACTGCAATAAGATGCTTCTCCAATCTACATGTTATAAAATCGACTCAGATCGGTGCAAAAGTCGGTGAAATAAAATGTTATTCTACATCTCCTTCGCTCTCATCAAAAGGAGATCAGCAATAAAACGATGTTCGCTCCTGTACGCAGTCAACCAGAAAAGATCTCAGATTTATGTTTACTGTTCAGCGATATTGAAGCCTTTCTCGCTTTCTCTTTCAGTTACTCGTGTCCGTAGGGTAAAGCGACCTGCTCTTGGAAAATGGAGAACTTCATTTCGATACAAGAGGTTGGATATGCAGAATAATAAGTCTGGGAATTCGAATTTCCCCTCTCGCATCGCTTGAAAATATAAGAAACATTTTAATATTTCTTTAAAAACATTGTTGTCGGTTTTTTTTTCTAATATGGAATTGCACGTATGTTTCTGCTTGAATAAAAAGTGTGTAAATATTTATTTCTATTTAGAGAAAAGAAAAAAAAAAGGAAAAAGGAATAAACATAAACAGAAAATGCGACACGATTTAAAATACAAAGTTTACTTTGTGTATGTTTTTAAATTTTATCTACATTATTATTTTAAAATACAGAGTTTCCATTATACACAAAATGCTACTGCTTTATCGTTTCTGCTCTCTTAGAAATGTCAAAAATATGCATTGCAGAATAAAAATATGATAATGCGCATTGTAAAATGACAATGAGATGCACTTTACTCTTGAGTTTTTTTATCCATAAAATTATGTTGTTTTGGGTAACGTTGTATAGTATTGTTTTGAATAGTAAATATTATTATTAGTAGTAGTACTAATAGTAAAATATTAGTAGTAGTAGAATAGTATTTTTTAAGGTTATTTTTTAATTAAATAAAAAAATTTGTTATTCTTATTATGTCCTAGAGCAGTTTTCGCAATGAAATAGCAACTTAACAAAAGGTTACAAAGGCAACAACCTAACAATACGATCGTTACAAAGGTAACAACCTAGCCATAAGTTACAAAGGATACAACCTAACAATTGGGTACAAAGGGAACAACCTAACAATTGGGTACAAAGGAACAACCTAACAATTGGGTTCAAAGGTAACAGCCTAACAATACGGTACAAAGGTAACAACATAACCATTGGGTACAAAGGTAACAACATAACCATTGGGTACAAAGGTAACAACCTAACAATAGATTATAAAGGTAACAACTTAACAATACGGTACAAAGGGAACAACCTAACATTAGGATACAAAGGTAACAACCTAAAGCTAGGGTACAAAGGTAACAACCTAAAGCTCGGGTACAAAGGTAACTAAACATTCTTTCCAATTTACTTTAATGATACTCCTATGCTTCTTCCCCTTCCCATAGCTATGTGTAACCGATCAAATTGCAATTCTTCATTTGCGTTCCGGCGTAGATTGTAGGAGAAAGTTATTGCAGATTCTGATCATAGAATCCACCCAGATCGGTGCAAATAGGCGCAACCGTGCAAAAGACGGTGAAATAAAATCTCATTCAACTTCTCCTTCTCTCTTAAGAAAAGCAGAACAGAAATAAAACGCTGTTCGCTCCTATACGCAGTCAACCAGAAAACATCTCAGGTTTGCTTTTACAGTTCAGCGATATTGAAGTCTTCCTCGCTTTCTGTTTCCTTTGCTAGTGTCCGTAGGGTTAGGCGAGGTCCTCTTGCAAAATGGAGGACTTCATTTCCATCAAAGAGGTGGATATGCAGAATAATAAGTCTGGGAATTCGAATTTCCCCTCTCCTATCATTTCAAAAAAATAGAAGCATTTTTAATACTTTTTTATGACATCGTTTGTTTTTTTTTTCAAATATGGAATTCAGCATACGCTTCTGTTTGAATAAAAAGTGTGTCAATCTTTATTTCTATTTAGAAAGTCTCAGAAAGAAAAGAAAAATGTAAAACAAAATGCGATATGATAGAAAATGCACCTAGTTTATTTTGTTTATGTTTTTAAATTTTACCTACATTGTTATTTTAAAATGCAGAGTTTCCATAACGGACAAAAAGCTATTGCTTTATCATTTCTGTTTTCTTAGAAGCGTCAAATATATGTATTGTCAGAATAAAAATTGGAAAAATTGCATTTTAAAATGACAATGAGATACGTTTAAAAGTTTTCAATTTCTTGCGCATAAAATTATATATATTGGTTTGGGTAGCGTTGTATAGTATTGTTTGGAATAGTAGAATAGTATTGCTTTGGCTAATTTTTTAATTAAATAAAAAATTTTATTCTGATTTTTCGTGTCTTTGATCTGTTGTTTTCATTTCCTTCACCAGTTTCAGTGTTTCTTAATAATTATTTTTATTTAATTTCTTTCACGAGCTATTCTTATACGTTTATTTAAATTTTTTCACATGCTTTTTTTATAAAATCGTTTGGAATTTTATAGTTTAGGTAGAACGAAGTAGTACAACTAATGAGCCGAGATTCTTAACATTCCAAACGCCATCGATTCTTCCCCTTTTTTTAAACAGTGCCTACAACTAAGCTGTCAACGGATTGGAGCTTAATGCTCACCAGTAGCGCCCGTTGTCAGTGAGCCACGTGTCGAGCTCGTATAATAAACTAATGTTACAAGAAAATAAAACATGAAAACCTGAGAAACTATTAAGAATTTTTGTTATCAGCAATATATAAAATAGTTATAAAAAAATATGTGGTATAATGTGATTTATATATTTCCGCTGCATACAGATTTAGTGTGTGTTGAAAAAGGTAAAAGTATACAATATTATAAAGGTAACTAATACAATAGTTTGCAATCGTGGAATTAGTGACAACGGTAACAACCTAAAAATAACTTACAAAAGCAGTTAACTAAACAATCTTTCCTTCTTTTCAATTTGCCTTGATGATACTCCTATGCTTCTTTTTCCCCCACAACTTTGTGGAACATCAACCTGCAACGGATCAACCCGCAATTCTTCATTTACAGCACAGTTATTACAGATTCTGATCACAAAATCGACTCAGATATGCGCAATCGTGCAAAAGGGAGTCGAAATAAAATCTCATTCAACTACTTACACTCTCTCGAAAAGCAGAGTAGCCATAAAACGCTGTTCGCTTCCATATGTAGTCAATCAGAAAAGATCTCGGATTTATGTTTACAGTTTGCGATCAAAAAGGTGGATATGCAGAATAATGAGTCTGAGAAATCGAATTTCCCCTCTCGCATCGTTGAAAATATAGAAGCATTTTAGTATTTTTTTTAAAAGCATTGTTACTTTTTTTTTTCAAATATTTAATTGTATGTGCGTTTCTGCTTGAATAAAAAGTGAGTAAATATTTATTTTTATTTAGAACGTCTCAGAAAAAAAGGAAAAGAAAAGAAATATAAAAGAAAATGCGACACGATTGAAAATGCAAAGTTTACTTTGTATATGTTTTTAAATTTTACCTATATATTATTATTTTAAAACATACTGTTTCCATTACGGACAAAAAGCTACCGTTTTATCGTTTCTAGTTTCTTAGAAATGTCAAAAAATATATTGTTAGAATAAAAATTGGAAAATGGTATTGGAAATGAAAATTGGTATTTTAAAACGACAATGACATGCACTTTAGAGTCTTCAGTTTTTTACCCATAAAATTATGGGCACTGTTTTGTTTACGTTGTATAGTATTGTTTTGGAAAAGTAGAATAGGCCCTTTTTGTAGGTTTTGGGCCCTTTTTTAATTAAATGAAAATATTTTATCGATTTTTTGTGTCTATTTAGGGTTTTTTTCGTTTCCTTTGACCACTTTCAATGTTTTTATTGGTTCATTTATTCTATTTTTATTTCTTTCATGAGCTATTCTTATTGGTTTATTTACATTTTTTGTGCTGTATTTTTTATAAAATCGTTCGGAATTCTTTTCCGCAAGTTTTTTTTTTTTTTTTTTACGTAGTTTTTTTAAT